GTAGTGGGAGGATATCCTGCCTGACCCAGGATGTCTATACTAGCTCTACTTCCTGCAGTAGAGGTGACTGAAGGTAGAATATGTCAGGGCTCAGCTGGTGTGCCAGATTTCAAGGGAACACTGGGGACAGGAAATAAGCTAGGGCTAGGCCAGAACAAATGACCTAATGAAGAATTAATTCTGTAGTGGATAGTCAGCAACTCAAATTACAGTGGCCAGGAGGAGTGTGGAGAACTGAGATTTGATCCTGCCAACAATGACACACAAGGAGAATTTATTTGTCAGGTTGGAACTTGGCAGCACGACTCTTCAGGCAGAAAGGATACACTGTCAGGAGGGTGACTGTGCCTTAGGCCTAGGGGTTTGTCCACTTTAGGGTTGCATCAGAGACTAAGAAGAGAAAGAATGCAGTCTTGCTCCTGGAGAAAAGTTCTTGGCAAGGGTGAGGCTAACTGCCAAGGTCATAGCTAAAGCCCTTCCAGGCAAGCCTGTAGGACTAAAACTGCAAACATGAGAAAAGCCTAGCCTTGGAAAATATGAGAAGAGTAAGAGAAACTGAGGCTAGCTTGGCATGGGAAACACTAGAGCTCACTAGGGTTAGGGCCAGTGAGCCTCACACTCCCTTCTCTGCAGTGCACTGGTTGAAGAGTCCAGAAGCCCAGTCTCCCAGTGTCACACAATGCAGGGCCGGGGAAGGCAAGAGCTCAAAGCCCACATGCATCAGCCAGCTACTGTTTGTCTAATCGTATTCCCCCATTTTCCCCCCATCGTTGTTTCTCCTCAAAGTGTTCACATTCTAGCTGGCTTCAGGATGAACTGGCACAGTTGGTGAGAAGAAGATGGCAGGAGCTCAAATATTCCTTCTGTTGGCCTGCCATCACCACTGGTGGATCCCGGGGCTCTGTCAATGTGGGGAGCTACAGCCTCGGCAGAGAGAAGTCAAAGAAGGTGCATGCCAGCCAGAGGACTTAGCCTTCAGGAGTGCATGAGCAGGACGTTTCAACAGGTGGGAGAGCAGAAGTGCCAGCCGGAAGGGGAGAGCCCGCCAGAGGCCAGGGAGTCTACAAGCCGCCAAAACTTCCGGACAGAAGGGAACGCAAGTGCAGCCAGCTACTTAGCCAGAGGGGAACCTGTACTCTGGCTCTCCGGGCTCCACATCAAATAATATTAAGGGTCCAAATCGTGCGCCACATTTAATAGTGCTTTAGAGATTGTTCGAAAAGCACTTCCACAAAAGTCATGGCTATGGATGGCCAAAAGCATTCTGCAACGTAGACAGGAAGACTGCTATCCCCTCCACTTGCACATGGGGAAAGAAATGCTGGGGGAGGGCACCCCATTTCCACTGTACGGCCCATTGTGATTCAATATTTCCAACAGCTTCACTGCAACAAAACTGTCTTCATTTCCTTATTTGATGACAGTGCTAATGCAGGTCTAAGTCGCCCAGGATATGCACTTTTTAGGGAACGGAGAAATCTAATGGAGCACATGGGATGTGGGATTACAACCAAAAGGGGATGCCTTTTGCACCTGCACGGCCTTTCTGTGGCGTGCTGGTGGAGAGACAAGGGCCATAACTACTGATTTAGGATTCAGAGTCTTTAATTTGATCTGAACAAGAACCCCTTCCTTAATGTTGAAGATGGAGTCTTGTCAGACATGAGAAATTAACTTCCAATTTGACAGGTTTTGCCTCTTGTCAAATTCATTAGGTGATCTGTTCACCTTTCTCCCCTAAAATCAAAACTTTCCACCGAGGCTACAATTCTATCCCCCAGTTCTGTTCATACTGGCAACTAGGACAGGGATTCCACTGGACTAAATGAGATTGATAGGTTAAAAAAAAAAAATCCAGTGGACCATTTCATGGACATCTAGGGAAGCACTGCCATCAAAAATTAAGCATAAGGCACATTTTATAATCCTGATTTTTTTTTTAAATAACCATGGTGGAGGCATTTGCTTAATTTTTTTTTATTGGAGCCATATAGGTCTTTTTGATATTCTCCTGTACGAAAAATGTATTTTTCAATTCACAAACATATTGCATAAAGTAAAACATTTCCAGTTACTCACTGATGCTTCAGAACCACAATGTGAGGATAATGCTATGGGTCATAATATATTATGACATAAAAGCAGGTTCCCTAAGTGAATGACAGGTGCATCTCTCAGCATACCCACCAGAGACTCCGTCTTCATATGATTCACCATTCATTCATCTCATGTCTGAAGTGCCACCAGACCACAGCTGTTCTCAATATAAACTTCCCTGCATTGCAAAGACCCAGTTCCTTAATAGTTACACTGACAATGTCCAGGCCATTTAGGAGTAGGCAAGTAATTCTTCCAATGCTAACAACTCTATTAGGCAAGAACAGTACGTGGGCTCAGGAAATGCTAGAGGAAATTTTAGGTACAAATATGAACAAAATTATTACTTTAGAATTTGCAAATACACAAGGGAATGTTGCTTTTAATTATATCACGGAAATTTCCTTCTATTCAGTGGACTGGTGGGGATGCAAGAAATTTTATATTATTGTGAATTTCATATATCCCCCCCACCCCCACCACCAGGCTCATTTTCAACAGGTTGCTCTCAATTAAAGCTAAAACACCATTAAAAGAAGTTCACGCTTTTACACACTGTAGCTTAAACAACACACTCTTTCTGCAAGGAAGTAAATCATTTGTCTTTATAAGGAGAAGAAAACGGGTGCATCCTAAAAAAACCCACTATGCCTAAATAATCTTCAGAAATTGGTAATACTTTTGATGTGATATTTCCCTTTTTTCCCAAAAAGAAAAATGTACAATTCATACATTTCACTAAACTTTAATAGGAAGTTTCCTAAATAAGTTTAAATGTAGGTTTAATGCAAAACTACTCTTATAACACAATCAATCTTTCTCTATATGTTGACCAATTCCACACACGTTTTCCCTTTTCCCGAATTACACTTTCCTCTTACAATAATTTCCCATGCAGTAGATATATACATTGTCAAAGATTCTTTTCAAAATCTTTTTCTCTTTTCCTTTTTAAAATATTGCCTATTTGCATAAATATTTGCTATTATTTTAAAAAAATGTCATTGCAGTAGTACTATTTTCATTTTGGAAGTCAATGTTATTAGCAACCCCCCCCCCCAGCCTATAGAAACAGTCTAAATCAGACCTGCAATGTAATTAATTTTAAGTCAGCAATTTAAGCTAAAGGTATATTTCCATATGGAAACCCATTTAAAAATAACATGCTTTCTAATGCAACAATAGCTAATTATACATTAAGCTAATTGAGACAAGCTATGTAAACAAAATCTCAAATAGGCTCTTCAGGGATAGGAGCGTATGATCTAAACCACAATTCTGTGGCATGTTGAATGCACACAGAAAAGGCAGGCATGTTCTATATACTGTTCGCAATACCAGCTCCCATAACAAGAGGGTGCACCCAACGCCATATCTATCCCACCACGTTTGGAACAGAAAGACCTCAGTTTTGTTTTGTTTTTTTTAATTAATACGTGACTACCACAATCTTGTCTATATGCTGGTATTTGTCCTAGGTTCACCTCTCCCCTTTCTTAAGTGTATATTCTTAGGCAGGGTCTCTTTCTTAAGTAAATACAGGGGCATTGTTTTAAACACAGGAAATAGTGCTGAATGTTTCATGCAGTTTAATGATCTCACAATATAAAATTATTTGGGACCGCAAAATCAACAAATACATTTTTTTTTTGGAAAAAAATTATTTTTCAAATAGTAAGACAGAAAGACCCAAAATGGGGGATCAGGCTATCTGTTTTGTTGGGACTCAGAGGCCAAGAGAGGCATGAAAACGTCTGTGCAAAACATACAGTGAAACAACCAGTGTCTTTAGCAACACAAACGCTTGTATACATACATTTACCTCCTAAGAAGAGCCATCCCGTTCAACATCGCAACACAGCCAGCCTGAGGACAGCATATCCTTACAGCCATCGGACAGGTTCAAATAACACTTGCAGACACATGAATGTTTGCATTCTTGTAATCTGTCCATATGGGTGCAATTCCCAAACCCCTGCTTCCTCTCCCACTTCCAACCTGCGTGCCAGGAAGAGTCGCACACATGCACACGCACGCCGAACAGGATCACAATTCCAACACGCACAGCGCGAAAAAGACAAGTGCATTTTGCTGCACGAGTCAACTGTGCCCCCACCCCGCCCCCCACACCACCACGGTTTAAAAACACGCAGAAATTAACCCAGCTGTAAGGAGGCTGTTCTGGGGGAGGGTTCCAGAGAGGAGATCCGGTGCGGTCTAACGGCCACGGCTCCGCGAGTGTAGACTCTCTCTGGGTCAGTAAAGATGCGCACCGGGGCTACCCACCTTCGCCCAGGTGTTACACTAAGTGCCAAATTTGCCTCTTCGCCCCCTAAAATGCAATCCGAACAAGCCACCCTATTTCGAGGTTGGCGGGTGTCTGCTTTAGCTTTCCTAAAAGCGGTAGGAAATCATCTGAGGGAAGCCACACACGCACATCACACAGGCGCGCGCGCACGAGCACACACCAAGCCGAGTAGCTCCTCTTGTCCGGACTCTTGGTGCCTCAAATCCGGCATTCGGGGGAGAGAGGATGCAAGGCGAGGAGAGCCCAGTGGTGCGCCCCCGCTCTCTCCCGGCCACCGCTCCTGTTACTCCCGTCATTTTCCCGGCACTTGAGGTGACCCCAGCATTCCCACCCTGGGTCCCAGGCTCCAACTCCGCACAATATCGCACTCTCTCTAGGTTCAAGTTTCCATCACCCACTCCCCTACTCCCCAAATCGACAGACCAGCTCTCTCCAGCGTCCCCAATACCCTGTTTGCATTCCCCAAAGCAAAGACATTTCCTACCCGGGCCGAAAACTTTTTCCTCCCTTGGCAACGCGATCAGGCAAGAAACCAGGTCAGCCGCTACCTCCACCCGCTTCGCCCAGCGCCCCGGTGGCGAGCACCGTCTTTTACCTGGCCGCTGCGCTCCAGGTGACCGTCCCACGCCGGCCGCCCGCGCCTCCTCGACTCACGGGGGTCGCCGGGTCCCCTGTCCTTTAGTCGCCTCCTGCTCGGCGCTCCGGGAGCGAGTGTCCTAGGACCGCACGCCCATGCCCGGAGCCGCCCTTCGGTTCATCGCGCGTCTTTGCAGAAGCGAGGCTACCGCCGGCGATCTCACCAGCAGCGCGGGGATCCGGAGGCACCGACTTGCCCCGCGGTGTGCGCTCCCGGGTCCGAGAGCGCTCCGCCCGCGGGCAGCTGCGGCCGCGTCACATGCCGCCTCCAGGCAGCGGCCCGGCACCTGCCCAAGCGGCAGCGCTCTTGGCTCGGCACCGCCGCCCCCGCGCCTCGGGCGCCCGGCACGCTCCGGCCCTCTCTGTTCGCGTCTTTTTTTTCTCCCCCCTCTCTCTCTCTCCCTCCTCACTTTCCCCCCTCCTTCTTTCCGTCTCCTCCTTTATCTTGTATTCTGTCTTTCCAAAAGCAGACACAAGGCGCTCCAAGTGGAAGGAGGGTCTCTCCCTCCTCACGAACTCTTTCTCTGCCTGGTGGTGGCGGTCGTGGCTACTGCTCGCCGCTCCTCCTTCTCTTCCTCCCGCGCTCCTCCTCCTCCTCCTCCTTCCCCCAGGACGGCGAGCACGGGTGTAATGCACAAGCTGCCTGCCACAGACCCAAACCTGCCCGGCTTCTGAGCATGCCCAGTGGCTTTGCTGGCGCGCGCTCAGCTCCCGCGTGCAGGCTCCACGGGCTTTCTGCGCCTGGGGGCGGGGGAGCCCGGCGGCGGCGGGAGAGACCCGCGGCCTCCGGGCTGGGCTCGCTCTGTCCACGCGTGTCCCCAACTCGGGCCCCCGGTGCTTCAAGGACAGATCTTGTGGGTCAGTGTTGCTGTGTTCTCTCCTGAGTCCATTTGCTCGGGCTGCTTGGAAGGATTGAGAGGAAGTGGATTCTTGGGCACAACTTACTGCCGAGAGAACCCCAGAGCGGTTATAATAAACGACTCCGTTGAGAACCTTTCCTTAGAGAGCAGCCTGAGTCTTCCCCGCCCCCTCCCTGATGATAGTCTCTTCATTACAGAACAATGTAATAGAGGACGACCTGGCTTTTCCTCTTCCAGAAGTTGACGCCTTAGTTGTAAAAAAAGGTAAACATGCATTAAAAAGACGCGCGCGTGCACACGCACCCAGCCCCCCCCCCCTTTTTTTTTTTGTAATCAGAAGATAAAAGATATGATCTTGCTAGCCAGGCTTTTATATTGCATAGGTAGCTCAAGAGGAATGAGAAGTTCAAAAGAGAGAAAGGAGGAAAGAAAAGGAGAGAAGAAGGAGGTGGGGAGAGGGGGGAAATATCTTACTATACTACTTTAAGGTAACTAAATAAGGACAAAGTGGAAAGAGGCCAAAGTTGCAGAGATACCAATGAGGCTGCCCCACAGCGCACTGAAGGTTTATAAAAGATCATGTAAGGAACAATTGCAGGAGAATCCCTTAAGGAAGGAGAAAGGACTCTGGAGGGAAGGGGGGAAAGAATTTAGAGCACAGCATGAAACTAAAGTTTTAATAATATGGGAAGAGAAAAATGATTTTGTTAAATCTATTTGGAGCAAGAAAATAAACAGGAAAAGAGCTCTTCTTTGAGCAACTAAGTCATGCTAAGAGAGAAATAAAAGTGTACATATTACATTCTGAGTCTATCTATATATTCTCTTCTAGGTAGAGCAATCTTCAGGACAGAAGACACTAAACATTGCTTAGGGAGAATTAAGGTCAAAATAGGAAAAATCTAGTGAGAAAGCATATGCCTACTTAAATTTAAATACCCAAACTCAAATGAATTACATGCAAAATACTAGAATGATGATAACTATTAGTAAGGTAGGCATCTTGTTTGGATACATCTCAGACTGAAATATAATAGTTGCCTTCAAATATATATCCCTAATCGTCAAAGCAAACATAAAAAAAAGTATGTTACCCCCATTTAATAACGGACAGAAATTTAAAGGACTAAATACCCATTACACAGCTAGTAAGAGCTAGTAAATTCAAATTTAAAATATCTTTCCATTACACAAAATGCTACTTACTTTTTATAATTTGATATAAAATATATATTTTGGTAACGTTTGGTAAATCCATAAATAACATACAGGAGGCCAGAAGAATGGACATATAGAAATATACCAGTTTTTTTTTTTTTTTAGGTAGATTTTCTTATCTATATAGTGATTAAGTGTCAGATGGATTCCTGGCAATACGCTAGAGAAGATCATGAAATAAATCATTTGCCAGTAGTCAGAAAACAACTATAATTTAGTAAAAATATCTTCCCAGACCTTGCTTCATTTATTTCTTTCTTCATTAAACTCATACATGTGGCATTTCCCAATTCCAGTTAAATTTCTCATTATCTTTATGGACAAGGCAAGTGTAAATTGTATGGTCATATTGAACAAAGTGAAACCAACAGTTTGGAGGGTTTCCTGAAGTGTCTTGGTAATTATATTCATGCTAGATCAGAGTAGTGTCTGGTTTTGAGCGTGGTGCCCTATTGTTCAGCAAATTTATCAAATTATATGGCTACTTCTTAGATTTGAGAATGAACCAAATTAGGGGCAGTGATAATTTATAAGACACTAAAAGTCAAATCTAAAGAGTTCTTTATTTTTTTTGTTTTGTTTTTGTTTTATTTTTTAATTTATTCATTTAAATTCAAGTTAATTAACATACAGTGTAGTATTGATTTCAGGAGTAGAACCCAGTGATTCATCACTTACATGAAACACCCACTGCTCATCCCAACAAGTGCTCTCCTTAATGCCCATCACCCATCCTGCTCATCCTCCAACTCACCTCCCCTCCAGCAACCCTCAGTTTGTTATCTGTATTTAAGAGTCTCTTAGGGTTTGTCTCCCTCTCCGTTTTTATCTTATTTTTCCTTCCCTCCCTCTATGTTCATCTGTTGTATTTCTTAAATTCCACATATGAGTGAAATGTATTTGTCTTTCTCTGACTTACTTCACTTAGCATAATACACTCTAGTTCCATCCACATTGTTGCAAATGGCAAGATTTTACTCTTTTTGATCACCCAGTAGTACTCCACTGTGTGTGTTTGTGTGGTGTGTCTGTGTGCGTGCATATACATACACATTCCACATCTTCTGAATCCATTCATCAGTGAATGGACATTTGGGCTCTTTCCATAATTTGGCTATTGTTGATAGCAGTGCTATATACAATGGGGTGCATGTGCCCCTTCAAATCAGCATTTTGTTGTAGGGTAGTTCTACTTTTAATTTTTTGAGGAACTGCCCTGCTCTTTTTCAGGGTGGCTGCACCAGTTTGCATTCCCACCAGCCGTGCAAAAGGGTTCCTCTTTCTCCACATCCTCTCCAACATCTGTTGTTGCCTGAGTTGTTAATTTTAGCTATTCTGACAGGTGTGAGGTGGTATTTCATTGTGGTTGTGATTTTTATTTCTCTGATAAGTGATGTTGAACATCTTTTCCTGTGTCTGTTAGCCATCTGGATATCTTATTTGGAAAAGTATTCATGTTTTCTGCCCATTTTTTCATTGGATTACTTTTTTTGGGCGGGGGGGAGGTATTGAGTTTGATAAGTTCTTTATAGATTTTTGGATACTAACCCTTTATCCCATACGCCATTTGCAGAATGAATTATTGGGACCTCATCAACAGTTCTTTACTTTAGATGTTGATTTATAGCAAAAGGGATAAACTAGATAAAATACATTCTGAAATCCTACCTTTTAGGTTCGTTTTTCAAAAATAAAACACAGGGGGTGTATATAAGATTTATTCAATGAGTCAATTATTAAATAACAAGACAGAAAGCTAATAGCACACTTACCCTTCTACCATAAAATAACTACACAACGTGGACAACATATGTAAAACTACATTTTTCGGTTATTAACCTGCAACCAACGTAAGGCTGCAATGTTTGAGTAGGGGAGGCACAGGTGAAACCATTTCCACGGATTTTCCCTGTGGGCCATTTTGTTTCTCCAGCAGAAGTGCTAGGCGCCGGGGTTCAAGATGGCGACACGGGAAGACCCTAAGCTGCTCTCCTCCCGCAGAACCGCTGAATTCAGTTCTTTATGGAATCATTTCCTCCCAGAAAAACCTTCAACCCGACAGAGGAAACGCCCTCCCATCAGCAGGCAGGAGGGAAAGCACGCGGCAGCAGGTAGGAAAGACTGAGACACGTCTCACCATGAGGACCACCCCTTGTTCCCCAACCCCAATAGGTGGGAGGGAACTCAAAACTTGAGGCTCCTCTCTGAGGGACACCCCAAGTTTAAGACCGGCACCTGAAGGATGAGACCCCAAAACCTGTGGCCTTGCAGCCCAAGGCCACCGGCAAGCAGGAGACGCAGGGCGCTCCTTCATAAAGGGTCTGCGTCCAGGCCTGCCCGCCCAGAGTGCCCAGACTTGAGGTGAAAGGGACTCGTTTGGTCATTTCATTTTATCTTTTTTTTTTTTTTTTTAATGTTTACTTACTTTTGAGGGAGGGAGAGCCAGCACGAGTGGGGGAGGGGCAGCGAGAGCCGGGTCAGAGGATCCCGCGCTGCCAGCAGGGAGCCCGAGGCGGGGGCTCGAACTCACAAACCCCTAGATCGCAACCTGAGCCAAAGTGCGGCTCTGAACCCACGGATCCCGCCACCCCCCAGGCGCCCCTTGTGTGGGAGTTTTGAACCCTCCTTGGCCTGGGGCCTCCGAGAGCTGGGGAGGAGCTGGGAAACTCCCCCTGGCGGCGCTGGTGGCGCCATCTCCCCCGCCTCGCCCGAGCCAGCGGGCGCCCTGCCTTTTCCTCTGTTCTCTTTTCTTTGTTTCATTTTCTTCTCTTCTTTTCCTTATTTTTTTCTCTTTTCCTTTTTCTTTAGCGGGCGCCATCGTCGCACTCGCTCTCCACCGGCCCGCAGCCAGTGGGCCCTCGTGGGGCTCTTGGCTCTGGCGCATTTCAGGGCACTGGCCTCTCTCCCGAGGAAGGGTCGGGGGACCCCCGTGTTCATGCCTGGGGCCCTGGGTTTTGCACATTTCTGGGAACAGTATTAAGATATTGTGCCTGATGCTTACGGGCTCACATAGTCATGAATGTCTTGTTAAATGTGACAGAAGCAAATAGATGGCAGAAGCTGTGATGGGGTTTGGGGGGATGGGGGGGATGTTCAGAGCCCAGGGCCAAGAAAGAATTCTTGAAGATGGCTTTGG